AGGTTTCAGCTAGATCAAGCTATACATCTCGAGAAAACAGCAGTTTTATAAATTGAACATATTTCTTGCTCGTGCGTCATTATTAACAATGCTCTAAGTGTGTTATTTTAGAAATTGAAACGTTTATAAACCAAATTGAATTTCTAATAGAATAAACCTTCACCCTAGGTTTCACAAGATACATGAACCAACATAATGGATTTTTATGTGGATTTTAATAGGTTTAATGTCTCATTTAAGAACTTTATCTAAGCGAATATACTCCTAATGTTCTCTTTATACATTACCAATTAATATAAAAGCTCAATATAACCAAACACTTTAATTCTGACAGCTTACCGACCTCTTACATTTTAAAGCATTTTTATAATCCATTTACGTCAAAAACCTTTCATCCCTATCTATAAAATTGTATTATCTCCTACTAGTCCATATCTGCCACCAGAGCACGGATATTTAAAAGGAAAATGTCGTTATTACATATTTCTCCAATTCACTAAGCCTCTAAAACAGATTAAGACATGCAAAACCTAGAAGAAACAACTCTACAGATTCCATCAGCAAGAATAGAGTTATCTACTCAATATAATGCCTGCATTGCGAAGCTACTATGTGGGAGAGACAGGAAGAACAGTAAGAAACAGAATGGCCGAGCATGAAAGATCTGTTAAAAGAAAGGATCCCCGTTCTCTAGTATACCAGCATATTCACAACACAGGCCATTAATTTTATATGGTAAGAGAACAATCAAAACATTACCATGAAATAAAGAACAATCACCAGCGCTTGATACTGGAAGCTTTACTTACTAAAATACTAAAAGGCATTAATAGATCTACATATCTTCCAAACATATATGATAGTTTTGAAAATAGATAGATCAGATAATGATAGTTTTGAAATATTAAATGAAATGATATGATAGTTTGAAAATAGATAGATCAGATAAATAGATAGATAGATCAAATAGATTTTGAAAATAGTTTTAGAAAATATGATAGTTTTGAAAAAGAAAAAAAAATATATATATAAGATAGTATAATTACGGTTTCTCCTACCTAAATAATTTTCACCTTCCCAATATTATTCATACCTTTACCCATACATTAATATTTATTTGGTGTCTTTGATCTCAATATGATTTGTATTCTTCCTTTAATCAAACATAGACTTAATAGAGTATATTAGCATTAACCAGTAATCTAAAAGTTCACAAAAAGGTTTCATTATTCTAGTGTATTATATTAATTATTATTTGCATATTCATATTCCCATACTTCCCATATTTCCTACTTATTTGTATCTATAATATATATAAGGGGTTTTATTTGATTTCCAAGTTTCAGTATCATAACTGAACCTGTTGATGGGCTGTTACACTCAAAATCTTTTATTGTCGGGTTATAAAAAAACTTTTTCCATCAAATATTCTCTTCTATATATTACTTTACTGAATATTGATAAATATATTGTAATTCGAATATTTTGGACATTTTATATTGAATACTAATTAAGCATTGGTTTTTAAGAATGATATTTGTCTTGAGGGGAAATTGAGTAAAGCGCTTAATAATTTTATTACTCTCATATGCTGATTCAAAAATATTACAACCAATTATATGCGGAAAATTTAAAACCTTAGCCGTTTTAAGAATATAAAATTATTTTCTTGATTTCAATGTACAGTCAAATGTTTGGATGATCGTAGATAGTTCTCGGTGGCTTAAGGATTTAGACCTTGAAAGGGGAAAGAAAGGCAAATATTATTTTTGATAATCGGCAATTGTCCAGCTCATTTTGAGGTGCCTAAATACCAACCATCTTTAATCCCATTTCTTTACCATGTGGAATGCAACAAGTCGTCATTGCTCTAATCTGAAAGTTAATGACGACTTATTGCATTCCAAATTTACATTAATATTATAATTAATATTTCTTTGATGCTCTAATCTGAAAGTTGAAGCAGAAGTATTGTAGGTGAATCTCATAGTGCAATATATACACGTACGAGTACGAGTACACTCACATATGGATAGAACTTAGGAAGGTTCATATTTTGTTGTCGCTGGTCGTATGTTTCTTTAAAGTGGACAGAAGCAATTTTGTTCATACTTGGTTATCTCTGTTGTCTTCAATAAAGGTCACTGTGTGTTAAATATCTTTCAGAGTTATTGACTGAATCCCGATATACATGCTAAATATACAACCTTCTAAGGTTTTGTCTATGAGTGCAAATGCTATTATAAATCCCGAAGCAATAAAGTCAGTCAGTATTATTCATTCTCTTCATTATGTCACAATTGCATGGAAGGATATCACAGGCAATCAGAAATATTTAGTAGAATTCTGTATTTTTGTTCTGATATTTCATAAAGAATGATGTATAAATATGAAAAATAAATAAATACCAGGGAAAATACCACCTTCCCAGAATTTTCTGAGTATATAATGATATAATCACAAGAAAGATGTTTATTTAATATGGTGGATGATACAGTTTCATCCATTAGCAATTCTGAGAAAAATCAAAGTTAGGATGAACTCTCTGAGCTCCTACTTATCAGAACACAAGCATTTAGATCTGTTGAAATTATTTACTTTCAATTAATTTATCGCGAATCTTTCTAAACCTTTCTAAAACATTTTAGAAGGTTCTCGGAATCTTTGCAAAACAAATATTGAAGAATTCCTTAAAACTAAACTTTTATTTGCCTATATATTTGCTTATATAAATAGTATTAAAATATATAGAGAGATATTAGTGAAACCGGAATTTTGAATAAATTGGTATATCGTTAATAAAGTTTCCATTTATCACAACAGATATGTATTTCTGTGTATTTCTATCGAATTGTTCGGTTTGAATAAATAGTTTGATTTCTCACTCACAAGTCTTTTCCTCATAACGGCCATTTGGCCAAGTCCCAAGAAGAGTGTTATAACAAAGTTTTGCTATATCCTCGCTCTCTCTCTCTTAGATATACAGAAGTACAGTGGCTTATACCTTTCAATAAGCTTTATTTGATTATAACTTTGTGATGATGTACTAGAGCGCCATCTGTTATCAAATTATAAAACTATTTTAGAGGCGTAATATTCTTTTTAAAATAAAACAATTTCTACTGTCCTTACTGCGATGGAACAATTAAAGGGAGGGCCTGGCTCATCAGTGGTGAACCCTCCCAGCGGTTTCGCCAATTTAATCCACCAGACCGCTTCTAAGAGCTCTAATACTGTATTGGACGATTTTGCTTATATACGCAGCACTGAAGGATGGAATCTCAGAAATGGTTTTCAAGAAAACTATGGACATAAGCTTATAGGACAGTAGAATTACATTCAAATATTTGCATCGAGCAATGCTCTTCCGCAAACAATAAAGACAAGGCCAGTTAGGCATAAATTAACACAAATCAATAACGCGTCATCTATACATATAAAAGATCCATATATAGATAGAAATTTTTCCTGGAGGATATTGATCTAAAGGGACAAAGGTCGCTAGTTTTGATATCTATTTTAACGGGAGAGGTGACCTTTGTCTCTTTATATAACATTTATTGTAATAATTTAAAATAAAGAAACCTATTGCGTAAGAATTTTGAAATTTTATTAAAAGCTATTGGTATGTATAAATTATATATTTTTTCCCATTCAGAAGGAAATTTATTTTCTATTACGAAGTCATACCTTTTTTTTTTCACATTTTAAAATGTTTTCACATACATTTAACATATTTGTATCTTTTTACCAAATGGTAATAACCACTTTAGTTGAGGCAGCTCTGACGAAAACCAAAATTTAAGGACATATATATATACAAAGTCTTTATTAAGACATATCGTCTTATTTGAGAAAAAAATATTTATAATGAAATGTATAATATTTTTCACATATTCAGGAAGAAATTGGTTTTTCATTGTGAAATCATACAATTTTTTCACATTTAAAAAGGTTTTTACATATATATTGAGCATATTCACACCTTTTTACCTAAAAGGCCACAACAACTTTCCTTGAGGCACAGCTCTGATGAAGATCAAAATTTGAAAACACATATACCTAAAGTCTTTGACTAAAATAAACTTTTCGAGAGTTAAAATAGAAAAATAAAACGGAAATTGAAGGGGAGTATCTTGTGCGAATTTTATTAGAAAGCTTTCGGACGCATGCGTACTTCTACAGGATTTTTCGATAGCCTGTATCAGAAAAATCTGTAGAAGGACGCATACGTCCGAAAGCTTTCTAATAAAATTCGCACAAGATACTCCTCTTTAATTACCGTTTTAATTTTATATACAAAGTCTTTATTAACCTTTATGGTTATTTGCGGATAAATACATGATTAACCTTTTGGATTAATTAAATAATATTTTAAAATAATATTCGAATAAAAAAATAGATTTGCATATTTGCACATTTGCATATCTTCTTATGCATTATATCTCATTTTTGTTCCTAGATGTATCTCGCTACGTTATCAGAAGATATCTACATAACCTGGCTGAGGCAGTTCTAAGAACCTCCATCGTGGTGCGTTCGATATTTACGAGATTATCGTATTTCTGGGTGACTAAACGAGGGGGCGGTTTTTGTACGTTGTTCTAATTGTCAGTCGCTGATAAGCCATCTCTCGTGGTGACGTCATCTTTCCCGATATGTCAACAACGTGTCCTTATATCGGCCTTATGTCATACAGTGTTTATTATATATATACAATATTGGATTAAGTAGTATTTATTTATAAGCAGCTGGTGGAAAAACTTTCCTCTTTCAATACAATTAATATAATAGTAATACATTATATTGCGGCTTATGATTGTAGAACGACATTTGAAAATTATCCCGCATGTGTTTCTTTTAGAACGAAAAATCGAAATTTATTTTAAGGAGAAATAACGATTATTTCTAACCTTAAGGATAAAATATGAAAGGATGAATTGTGAAGAGTAATCATAAACGGAAAAATAAAAGTGTCCAGGGATGGGAATCGAACCCACAGTGTTCCGCTTAGCCTAGTAGACATGGCATCTGCCCGGTAAGCGGAACACTGTGGGTTCGATTCCCATCCCTGGACACTTTATTTTTCCTTTTATCATTACTCTTCACAATTCATCCTTTCATACTTCATCCTTAAGGTTAGAAATAATCGTTATTTCTCCTTAAAATAAGTTTCGATTTTTCGTTCAAAAAGAAACACATGCGGGATAATTTTCAAATGTCGTTCTATAATATAATACTCACTCGAATACATTTAGAATATAATTGTATTCACATTTTCTTTGATCCTCTTTTTAACTGTATTTAACACGTTTAGAAATCATATTTCTTATATATCTTTAACATATAAATTTATTGTAATCTATATATTATATATATTTTTTTAACATTCAGAAAGAATTTTATTTTCAATTACGAAGACATACCATTTTTTCCCTCATTTTAAAATGTTTTCACGTACATTTAGCATCTTTGCACTTTTGTATTAATGTTTTTAAATCAAATATTTTAAATGTCAATGTGCAGTCTTCTTGAAATTATGAGCAATGCGTGGGGTCACTGGAGACCCGCTGGCGATTCTCCACCAAACTCTGCAGCGGTGTTAGAGGCGCCATATTCATTGTACATAGTGTTGGATGTTAGTTAGTTATGTAAATAGATTCTTTGTATTTTTATATTTTATGTAAATAGTTATTTTGCATTTTTCTCTAGTTTTATATTTTACCTTTATAAAATGCGATGCTGCCTATACCGGCAGTAGCCGTCTTCGTGGTAGAGTAGTGTGGCTTGTAGAGTAGAGCTCACAGCTTGCTTGATAAAATAAACGTACCACTTCCGCAAGTACAAGTTTTATCTCTGTGGTAGACTTATTCGGGGTATATCTCCACGTCACATAGTGTTATGTTTTGAAAATAGAGGAATCCATAGATAAATCTTTAATTAGAAAGGAATATATTGGATCAAAATATCATTTATTTTACCAATATTTCAGTTGGCTGAACGCCAACCTTTATCAAGGTATTATAACATATTAATGTGTATTATTTAAGGACACACATTAATATGTTATAATACCTTGATAAAGGTTGGAGTTCAGCCAACTGAAATATTGGTAAAATAAATGATATTTTGATCCAATATATGCCTTTTTAATTAAATAGTGTTATGTATATGTACAAATAGTGGTGACTGTGCACTTTTGCATGTATTGACAAGATCTCAAATAAAATTATGCTCATATTAAAATATATAAGCAAAATGAAGCTTTTAGACCTAAATAAAAGTTTTCATATTTTATACTTTTAGTAAAAAGAGAGAGATGCTGCTGTTATTAAAGGTCGATAATCAGCACCAAGGGCTCAGGATCAAATCCCGAATTGAGAATATTTTTTCAAAACAACGATTTGCTTGAATAGCTCTCGAATTTTGTACAATTTCCATCTCACCAGTGAGTGCAATCAATCACAAGGTTCTCTAATGTCTTCAAAATGCAAATTCGAGCTGTTTTTCACGTGTTTAGAAAAGTGGTGAATTTACAGTGAAAGGCAGTCGCTGATCTCTAACACCCAGGTTGATGTACATCATGTATATTTTATTACAAGTAAATATGCACTAACCATTCTATAAAATACTCCAATATAGTGTTATCAGGGATATATTTATGATTCTGCCATTCAAAGATCTACATATAGCTCGAATTCCTATTTTGATACATTAATTTTAAATTTATACATTGTATATTCAAACTACCTTATTGATATAATTCTCAAAGTATTCAGAAGCTGTCGTAGATTTTGAAAATGAATGGGTACAATATATTTCTTTTAGGAACTTATTATTTCGATTATTAATATATAATTAACCTGAATATTCCGCAGTCTACATTATATTGCGGGTGTACAATGAAAAGACCCCCCCCCCCTCTTCTCTGATTGTAGTCTTGTTTGTCAGAAAAAAAAAGAATAGTTTTCTTATTAAGAAAAATCTTAGAAAAATTAAATTCTTAAATATTTTTCAAAGTTAATGCTTTTAGAAATAAGGCTGAACGTAACTCACAAATATCTCTTTAGGAATCAATAATAGTCAAGTAACAAGTGGCAAAAAGTTAAAATTCTATACACAGAAAGAGCTTTATCAACCCTTTAAGAAATATATTGAATACCTTTTATAAATATATATTTCATATTATATATTGATACAATAAAAATATTTTATATAATTTTTCCTGTTCAGAAAAGAGTTTACTTTATAGAATCCTTTTTTTTTTCTTCTTCGTTGTAAATACTTATTGATTCCTTATTTATATATATAAATTAATACTATGGTGAATAGAAATCAATGAAAATGGAAGATATACGGGATTACAAAGAAATATTTGAAACGATTTTGTCAAATGATTTATAATTGTTCATTATTGGTTCAAATAAATAGATTTTAAAATATTTTAGGATTCTCTAATATTCTAAGAATTCGCAGATTCTTACATTGACTTGGGTATTACTGTAAATATTAAATTAGGCTTTTTCCAACGTACATCAAATATAAAACATAATACCAATTCGATATAACTATCACAATTTCTACAAACGCACCCAGAAGCCACTTTTGAAAATTTCAATATGAAAATTCGACCAATTTAACTTATACAATAAATTCTTTCTTTGGCATTCATTAAAATCACACATAGGTTAACACTAGACAAAGCAGAATCACAATATTTAAATAAATTCCTTAAAATTCAATTTAATAAACGATCATATGCTTCAATGTAACACACAAAGAATTGTATATATATTAAATAATAATAATTAATAGCGAATTAAATCCAGAAAAGAAATCCAATTATGCAAATTTAAAGAGAAAAACATAATCTGAGGCATTTGACACCTCATTCTGGAAGGCAACAAATCAAAATAATAAACAAATATATTTCTGAAATATAGCTTCCATGGAATTCATACAAACTAATCTACATAAATTTGAATTTTCATCAGCTTGAGAAGACATGATGTATATGCAAACTTTGAGAGGAATCTGCGGAAAGTAATATATGCTTTTATGTATATATATGTAAATATAATTACATTTACTTGACCTGGATATATGTAGACTAGATATATTTTGTTGTCCTTGTATGGATTTAATAAATGTTATATATGGATGCTATAATATAAAAATGAGATTTTCTGCTGATTTTGATTATCTTGAGGATTATGCTATGGTAATGCAGTCGTGGTGAAATCTGGAAAGTATAATAATAAAAATAGTAAAGATTAGAAATAGCTTTAATTGAGCTTATGGAATATATAAAAAACACAATTTGATAAAACGTACTGTTCGTCTTAAGGCGAGTATATAAGATAGGATTATTTACATAATGTACAAAGGTTCAACTGGCAATCGGGAAACAACAACAATGAGTTTTTATAGGGGAAGCGTGACCTCTGGCGATCGATTTAAAAGAGCATTTGAATCTATGAAATATAATTTCAAATAAAATAATATTTTTATATAACATAAATCAGCACGTATGTTTATTTTATAAATAAAGGGACTTCCTACCGTCCTGGGAATATATGGGGATGAGATATTAAGACAGCGGTTGTGAAGTAGTTCACGAAGCCTTTAGAATAATGGCAACCTATCCTTATGACAAATGATACTTTCACGGGATTGATTTATTGACGCATATACAGGGTGATCCAAAAGTCCCGCACAACTTTAAAAATTAATAACTCCGCGAATATTTGTGCTAGAGCAATGCGGTAAACACCATTGTGTTCAGGATGCAATGGTATTTTTTATGGCAAATAATGAAAATTTCAAAATTTATTTTAGTTACAACTTTATTTGCTAGATGGCGCTCTACCAGAATCAGAGATTGAGCGGCCAAATTGTTTGATAAATTGAAAAATATAACTGATCGACACGTATTTTTCCTTTTTGAATACCAGTAAAGAACCCTAATAATATCAAATGATAAATAAATAAAACACCATTTCGCCAAAGGTTATAAGAATTGGTTGACGATTTTTAAATACAATCTGAGATATGTAAAATAGGTATATGCAAATTAAAACATGTGGCAAAAAATATTTATATTTTAGATGGAGTTTTGTGAAATAGATTGAATGTTTGAAAAACACTGCTGATATCAATACACGATTTTTGAAATGTTAATATAGTACCAAAAATTATGATGGTACTATTAATAGGATTTCTTGCTATAAGGAATGTGTAGTTTCTTGACTGATTGGCGACACTTGACTATTTAACTGGATATTTGTCATGATCCAAAATGAAATATAGAGGGGGGTGACAAAATCTATTTGTTTTTACTTTATTTCAAATATCTTATGGGTTTGTCAAATGTTATCATTGTTTATTATACTGTACATAATTTTGAAAATGTATCCACTAAAAAAATCATTTTTAAATCGACCTTTTGCGTTGAAAAACGTGGTAGTAAAATCATTTTGTATTATATTTTGCGCAAATTTTCTAAAGTTGGGGGGGGTACGGAGAATATTCCTTATGTTATTTCTTCTAATGAGCGAAAAGCGATAAACTAAACATATGGGGTAAAATTGTGTATACCAGTGTTATTCGAGAAGTTATAACACTTTGGCCTGCACGACATAATATAAGATGTGGGCAAATGACAAACAAAAAAAATACTGTTCACAGAAACAAAAAAGAGTCAAGATGTGAGGACAGCATTTATTATTCCCATAACCCAAAACAAAGAGCTGCAAAATATAACACATGAAGTAACTGCCTTCTCTCTTGTATTAGGTCACAATCCTTGCTCAATGTGGCGCCCTTCATTCTCAAACACCGCCTGCAGACGATAGATGACAGAAAGGTCACAATTAAATATTTGAAATTTATAAAACGTGCCATCTGATAGAAGCCTTCAACATGGCCAATGTGGTAGGCCGGCATCGATAAAAACGCGACTTATTGTACCCCCATAACTGAAATTGTAAGGCGTCAAGTCTGGTGATATTGAAGGCCACTGGTATATAAAGTGGCGACTTATCCCACGATTTTCACCGTACGTATCCTTCAGCAATTGTTC